CACAGCATCACTGGATCACTGAAGTCTCAGTTGTGACCGGAGGCCAAACTGGAGTTATTCTGTAGCTGGGCTGTAGGCAAGAGAACTAGGCTAACCAAATGATTAATCCCTAGAATTATGTAGCATTGCTCCCAACACTACATTATGCCAGGCATGATGGCACATGATTGTAATCCCAACACTGCAAAGGCCAAGACAGGAGGATTACAAGTTCTAGGCCAGCCTAGGCTCCCTAATGAGACCCTGTCTAAAAAAGGGTGAGGGTACATTATTGCCCAATCTCTACAAGGTAATTTAAATGACACGTTAGAAAAACACGGGGTTTGGAAGTAAAATTGACTAGAAATGGCATTTCAGATTTTGTAAGCCTGCTACACCTCAGTAGGTAGATGCCAGAGCCTTGCAGCGTTTGTGACTCTCAGATGGAGCTATTATTACTCTGAGCTAATGAAGTGCCAGCCAGTGGCCCCATTACCTCATGCTGGATTTGTCGGCTAATTGGCCCACTGGGCCGCTGTGTCTAGTGGTGTGTGCAGATGAGTCTGCAGAGCTGAAGGGCCAGCAGATCCACCCTAGAGCCCGTAGATCTCTAAGTACAAACTTGTGAAACTGTTGCTGCTAAGTGTAGTGCCTCAGGGTGCTGTCCTGGTGCTAGGGATGTAGAGGGTTAATTTACATGCAGTTTCTCCGAGGAGACAGAGTAAACATATAAGTAAAACCATGTGGCATCATAACACGCACTTGGAAGCAAGAGAAGCTAGGAACAGAGCAAGAGGAGGAGGCAAGGAGGGTCAAGGAAGAAGTCGCTCAAGATTTCATGCTAAGACCAGGTGGGCTGGGTATCCAGAGCCAGAACCTTCAGGCAGGAGGAAGGGCAAATAACAGTCCCTGCTGGGAAGAAGTGGGGCCTGTTCAAAGAACAACCTAGCCTAGCACAGAGCGGCTGGGGTGGAGGGTGCAGCTCCAACTGCAGGACGTACGTGTTCAGGCTTTCGGTGCCTCTGCCTCCTGCCATGTTGTTAAAAGGACAAAAGTCAAACGTGAAAACTGAGGGTAAGCCCATTAAATTACACTAGGAAACCATTTCCCACTGTTTCTCTTCCCTGCCTTAGGTATTGTCAAACATACACACTTTTTTAATGCTGACAAGGAAACAGTTTATGATACTTTTAAAAAGGTACTGTCCTTGACCCATCAAGCAGATGAAATGTGTGGCAGTACCACCTGTTGGTGGAGATGGGATAAGATAGTGTTTACGTGCAGTGGCTGGGCAGTGTGAATTTCTGCAGCCGCTTTCCTTCAGCTTGGCAGTACTGTGTCTAACAAGATT